ATTTAGCTCACCCCTGTTTGGCCCAGCTTAAGTCTTGCTTTAGTAATCCCAACTCAACTCACCCCATCCCTCCCCTGCCCTGCAGTGCCCAGCCTAGCCCCTCCCTCCTGTGCCCCCACAATAGATGATAGGGCATGTGCTGACACTAGGTCTCACTTATAAACACGCGTATACACCAGGTGTGCACTGGCTCATGACACAATGTATGTCTCCCTGGTGATGGCAGATATGCAGATGCATCGATAGATGAATGATTGACAGATGGGTTGGCGGGTGATAGATAACCCGATTAGATGGTAAATAGGCACAGAGACAGATGATAAATAGGTTAATAATAAATAGGAGTAGACAAGTGACAGATACTGAGAAGATGATAAATAGATTGATGAGATACAGAAATATATATAGACAGACCATAGTAGCATAAGAGCTTAATGATAGGTATAGATAGGTGATAGAAAGATAGATAGGCAGGTGATAAATAGGTCAATGATGATTATAGATAGAGGACGGATAGATAGATGATATATAGATAGATGTAGATGAAGGTACATGATAGAAGACAGACAATGATAAGTAGATAGATGATGGGTAGACAGACAAGAAATAGTAGGGATAAGACTGATGATTGATGATAAGTGATTGACAGATAACAGATGGATGGAGGGAGCGAGAACGGCCAGCGTTAATGGCAGGTGAATCTGGGTGAGGGACACTGCAGACACACACACACTGGACACGGGCTTCTCACGTGACCCAGGAGCCCACTCAGCATCATACACACGCATGGGCACACACGGCCCTCCAGCTGGGGAGCCCACCCCTCCTCATCTCCAGCTAGGGGAGGGAAGACACGTCACCCTCCCCAGCCCTGCATCCCGTGCAGGGCCACCCCTTCCCAAGCCAGGGTGTCACGGGCAGATACTCACTCTCCCCGGTCATCACCCCCTGCGTATACCTCTTGGGCAGCATCCCCGTGTACCCGTAGAAGCTGGATTGCTGCACTTAAGAGAGAGAGAGAGAGAGCCTGAGAGGTGTAACCGTGAGACCCTACTGCTCACCTGTCAGTTGGGGGAAAACACTCGTGTGTGTGTGTGTGTGTGTGTGTACTTGAGACGACCATGCTGGGCAGGGCAGGACAAATGAACGAGAAAAGGCTCGCGGAGAATAGATAGGAAACACCTGAGCTGACTGCCATCGTACTGTTTTGTAAAACCACGAACACGCACACATAGTGGGAACTGGGTCTTAACATAAAACCTATTTCTCCCTGGTGGTCAGTGTCGCAAAAGCTTAAACATCCACAAAACCAGCGGGGGCGGGGACCCTTCCACACTTGCCACGAGAGACTAAGGAGGCCCAAGGGACTTTCTGGCTGAAATGGAGAGGTCAGACGTAAGCAGGTAACGCAGCCACTGTGTCAGGTCGATTCTCAACTCAGTAACTCCTGCTAGTGAGCTGATGCCCACTCATAGCAACCCTACAGGACAGGGTAGATGTGCCTCGGTGGGTTTCTGAGACTGTCATGCTTGACAGGAGAAGAAAGCCTCATCTTTCTCCCACACAGCAGCTGGTGGTTTCAAACAGCTGACTTTGAAGTTATCAGCCCAACGCATAACCATTACGCCACCAGGGCTCCAGGTTGGATTCTAGATCCTTTAAAAAAAAAAAAATGCTATGGAGGATGTTCTCAGGACGATTTGTGAAATCTGCGTGTGGGCAATAGTTCAGAGAAGATGCTCCACTCACTGATTTGGGCCCCTGGGATCGGTTCTAGTGGAAATGCCGGATCTTAGAGAATGGGCACTGAAGCCCTTAGGCATGAGCTGTGGTAGCATGGACTCAAACGGCTTCGGGGAGACAGGTAGATGGTACATGATGGGTGGACAGGTAGATAGATATGTGGCAAATAGGTCGATGGCCGGACAATAGGTGACAGACAGACAGACAGATGGTGCATGACAATCGCTGATAGGTAAATAGACAGAAGGCTAACAGATTAGAGGCAAACAACTCTAAACTCACTGACATCGAGTGGACTCTGACTCAGAGTGACCCTATAGGTCCGGGTAGACCTGCCCCTGTGGGAGTAGAAAGCTCCTTCTAGACCCCTCAGAGGGCTGGTCGTTTCGAATTGCTGACCTTGTGGTTAGCACCCCAAGGCGTACCCACGCCGCCAACCACCAGGCGCCTCTAGAGGGCGACAGGTGATATTTGGGAGAAGGACGAGGCTCTGCTCCCAGGAGGACTTACAGCCTCAGAAATGCACAGGGAAGTTCTAGCCTGTGCTGCAGGGTCCCTGAGTCGGAAGAGACTTACTGGCAGTGAGACTGGATAGCAGTCAGGTGGCTAGGCAGTTGGATGCTAGAAAGAAGACAAATGATGGGCAGATAATAGGTGGATGGATGGAGGGAGGAGAGAGGGGAGGCAGGAGGGACTGGCGGCATGTTAGCGGACGGTGAATCCAGGTGCAAAGGTATGTGTTCACGTGGATTCTTCTTGCAATCCTCCCATATGTTGGCTGCTGTTTCACAAGAAGTTAAACATACCAGTGTTTGGGAGTCACTGCCCAAGGGAAGTAGCGCTGGATAAACCCAGTTTATCCAGGAGAAACCGAGGCACTGGCTGCGTGTCCCCGTGAGTCTCGCCAGCGTGTGCCCTGGCGCTGCTTGTGCCCAGCACATGGCGGCAGGTGTGCATGTGCATCGGCATAGCTGGGGAGACCCACTTGGCCTGTGTCCCACCCCGCTGTGGGCAGGCCAGCGCAGAGCCGGCAGCAAGGAGGAGCCCGCCTTACCTGTGCAGCCAAAGGCCACGGTGCCCACGGCGGCCAGGTTGATGGCGTAAGCCTGGTCGTGGGAGAAGAGCTGCAGCCACACGTCACAGATGCTGATGAAGAGCAGGGGGCCGAGGGCGAGGAGGTAGCCTGTGGGGAGGGGAGGCTGGTCAGGGCTGCAGCCTTGGGTCCCATGCCGGGGATGCTGTTTGAAATGTTTTCAACACAAAGCGTCTGAAGGACAAACAACAAAGTGTGGGAGCCAGTGCCCGGGGTCGGGGAGCAGTCTCGTGAACAGACACCTGCCCAAGGGTGTGCCATGGCTCCGTCCTGAGTGGAGCCATAACGTCCTTAGAGGTGCGCCCCCAGAGAGGGAAGGTGGGCGGGGTGGACCCTGTGTGGACTGAGAGACCCCAGGGGCCGGGGGACCGGGCGACCAGGGGTGGCGTACCTGCGGTGATCCTGGTGTGCAGGCTCAACCTCTCCACCAGCACATTGTTCAGGAGTACGGCCACCAGGGCCACCAGGATGTAGGTGAGGCTCATGTCAAACACGATGGAGGTCCCTGGGACGGGCCAGTCCAGAGCAGGTGCTCAGGAGGGGGGCGCTGAGCCTCTGAAGCCCCCTCCCCCACCACAGCCAGCCCCTCCTCATCCTCCCAGAGAGGACACATTGACGGCACCCCCGAGCACCCCAGCACAGGGACCCCAGCATGACGCCCAGAGAGGGTGAGCTACTGCCCCAACGCCACCCAGCAATCCACAGCTGAGCCAAGGTTGGGGTGAAGGGATCCCCGAGCGGGGGCCACCTGCTGGAGGTGCCCAGACAGGGGGCCGGGCGGGCCCACCTGGGTACTTGTGGTGCAGGTAGTCCACGTCCGTGATGAAGCTGTTATAGGGCAGCAGGAAGCCCACGCCGGCCAGCAGCATCGCGAAATAGATGGCATGGTAGCGGTCGTCGGGCGCCGGTTCCTCCACCGCTAGGCCCCGAGACAGCAGGTGAGATGTGAGCAAGCCCACTCCCAGCCGCAGCCACCCCCTCTGGGCTCCCGCCCACCGCCAAGGCCACAGCGGTGTGCCTTCGCCATCCACTGCATGCAGCGTTCGCCCTTCCGTGCCACCCTGTCCCTGCGCTACAGCCACGGCCTCCACAGCCACTGACAACAGACAGCAGCACCCCGGCACCGAGCACACCCCCACTGAGGTCGCCAGCACCACGGAGGGCATTGCTGAGAGCAGGAGTGGGCTTCCCTTTCCGTGGCCAGGGGATGGGCAGTGTAGACTGTTACCATTTGGCCGGGAGAAGTCTAGCACCTTGGGGAGTGGCCAGAGCCTCTCCCTCATCTGCCAAGAAAGGGGGCAACCAGAGAAGAGACCCTCATCTCTGAGCCCTGGTGTGTGTGTGGGGGGTACGAGACCGGAGAACATCACTATCACACGCCGGGTGCCTGTCGACTGAGTACTGGGCACAGTCTGCCCAGTCCTCTGTGGGCTCCACTGCACAATAGAGGGGCTCTCCTCCGATACTGCATGTCCCTCATAATGTGCCACGCACGGAACACACACCCACATCATACGCACTCCCATAAAGAACATGCGTCCATATGACATGCACCCACGCACAATTGCACATCCATTTAACACGCACTCCCGCCAAGAACACCCATATAACACGCACCCACCAAAGAACACGCACCTATGGCACACAGCCATGTAAAGAGCACACACCCGCATAACACACATCCACCTTAAGAGTATGTGTTATCAAGGAGGAGATGAGCCAGTCAGGGTGCATTGTAGCACCCATGAAACATACAACTTTCCTCTAGTTATTTAATGCTTCCTCCCCCCCCACTATCATGATCCCAATCCTACCTTACAAATTTGGCTAGACCAGATCATGTACACAGGTACAGATAAGAGCTGGAAACACAGGGAATCCAGGACAGATAAACCCCTCAGAACCAATATTGAGAATGGTGATACCAGGAGAGTAAGGGGAAGGTGGGGGAGAAAGGGGGAACCGACCACAAGGATCTACATGTAACTCCCTCCCTGGGGGACGGACAACAGAAAAGTGGGAAGTGGGTGAAGAGAGACATCAGACAGTGTAAGACATGAAAAAATAATAATAATTTATAAATTATCAAGGGTTTGTGAGGGAGGGAGGGAGGGTGGAGAGGGAGAGGAAAAAATGAGGAGCTGATACCAAGGGTTCAAGTAGAAAGCAAATGTTCTGAGAAAGATGATGGTGACAAATGTACAAATGTGCTTGACACAACGGATGGAAGTATGGATTGTGATAAGAGTTATATGAGCCCCCAATAAAATGATTTAAAAATATGTGCTATAGCACACCCACAGAAAGAACACGCGCCCATATAGCACACCCCCATATAATATGCTCGCATGTTAAGAACGCACACCCATCATATAACATGCACATACTTTAAGAACACACACCCCCATATAACAGGCACCCACGAAGAGAACACGCACCCACACAACACGCACACACTGTATGAACACACCCATACAACACGCACATCACACACAAGGGCACCTCAATTTGGAAAGCCCGCTCAGCGCACGCGCGTCATTCATACGGATTTTCCAGGTGTGAAAACGGGCTCTGGGAAGAGCGGTGACAATGCGCAGCAGCTGTGGGCTGGCAGGGGCTGCAGGTCTGATCTCACGCCATCAGCCATTTATCCAGGCACAGAGGGGGTCAGGTCCTTGCCCAAGGTCACACACTGACTTTCATACCCAGTTCCCCTCTCAGGCCCCTCCCCATCGCCTCTGATGTTAGACATGACTTGCTTCACCGATGAATGTCACCCAAGAGACCCACGCTGTTTCCAGGTTAGAATCTTTACGGTCGGATGCGTGGTTCACCAGGGGCCCTGTTACCTGCCCACTGCTTCCACTGGGCTCTGAGTGAGCCCCCTGCTGAGCATGCCGCATGGACTTGTCTGTTGCTGCAGAAGACAGATACTACCTGGGGTGCTCCAATACAACCCCAGGGGCTCCCTGAGGTTGGTACGAGTTGAACTGTATCCCCCTCCCCCTCCGCAGCCTGCCAAAGTTATGGTGAACCTGACCCCTGTGTCCTGTTTGGGAACAGACTGTTGATCAGGTTAATAAGAGATCATCCTGGAAAGGGTGGGTCCCCATCCTAAGCAAGGACCCTGGATGGTGCAGAAGGCCGTGGTGCCACAGGAGAAATGACCGGCAACCGCTTCCATGAAGATGACCACCCATGGGCACACAGGGGGTCAAGTTGGCCGCCACAGGTGGGGTTTGCATCTGAGCTGACCGTGTCTGTATAAAAGCACAGAGACGCAGAAGCAGGGAGGGTGTGGACATGTGACCACAAAGCCACGGAGCGGGGAGAGGCAGACCAAGGGCCCCTTGGAATGTGGTCTCCGACCCCCAGCCTCCCGAGCTGGCATTCCTATTGGCCAAGTGTGCCCATGTGGCCACATTTTTATTTTGCAAATCAGGCGTCCTTTGGCCAATCTCTACTTTGGGCCAGCTGTACCCCATGCCTGGGGTTCCTGTCACTCACCAGGGTCCATGAAGGGCGGGCCCCCCCTGCCTCGGTCCCCCCGGCCCTGCCTGGTCCCTGCAGTGGCCACCTCCTCCTCCAGTGGATAGCTGTCAAAGCTGAAGCTCATGACGATGCTTCTGTCCGGGGTGGCCGCCAGGCTGGCCTCCTGGAGGTGCTGGCTCCCAGCTGCGCCCATGGCCCCCGAGTGAGCTGTGGGGAGAGGAGAGGAGGCATGAAGCAAACACCCCCAACCCTGTATCCCCCCCAGGGGGGCCTTCCTTCGTAGTCAGTCCCCCAACCTCTAAAGAGGGACACGGAGAACATTCGAAGTACAAGAGCCAGTCAATAGGCACTGACTGCTCTTGGGGTCCCAGCCTCCTCCACACGGGTTTATTCCAACTGAGAGTGTTCAGGGGACAGACGGCTACAGAAACCCCCTCAATGATCACGCTTAGTCTCTCGTTCTCCCTCAAACTCACGGCCATTAAGTCAGGGGGGTTTCCTAGACTGTCACTGTTGACGGGAGTAGAAAGCCCAGGCCTTCTCCCAAGGAGCTGCTGCTGGTGGTTTTGAACTGCCAACCACGTGGATTGCAGCCCAGCATGTAACCAACCACTACAGGGCTCCATTTAGTCTCGTTTAAAAAAAGGTCCAATCAAAACCGTGCCTTCTGAGAGGGATCTGCTGGGCCAACTCAATTCAAGGCAGAGGGCAGTTCAGAAGGTTCTGGAAACTCTTTTGGGGGGCACTCCAGTCCCATGGGCTTGTTAGGAAATTTTCAGAAAATGGAAATCTGCATGGCTGAGATCAAGTCCAGGAGAGCTGCGCCCGCCCAGATCATTTCCTCCCCACCGCCACAATGCCGATGTCATGAGCCCACCGTCCTGCAGTCCGCATCTCACTTGGGTGTGCGCCACGAACTCCCAGAACATTGAAAAGGACGTAGCTTGAGTCCCTTGAGTCTGGAAGCTGTCACAGCAACACACCTGCCTCCACTGACAGCCGGGGGGTGGGGGTGAGGGGTATATGCGTGAGGTGCCCTGGCAGGACAGTAAGATTCCACCATTGGGCCCCCATGGCCCCCCTGCCTGTCTCCATACAGTTTTCAACGCAGCCAGGGAGGGAGACACAAGGACCAGCTCCTAGGAATTGAGGAGCTTTTGCCCCTGCCAACTGGGGCTTGATCCAGCTCACTGGTCCCCAAGGCCAATGAGCGAGACCACCAGGATGTCATCAGGAGCTGTGCTTGTGGGACCCCCACCTACCTGCTTCACTGCTTCTCCCCGGCATAGCCCCTCCCACGACGGCGGAAGCGGGAGGTGCTGAGGAAGGCTTAGGCAGCAGCTGCTGGGTTGGACTGTCCCTAGCAGGCTGGGTGGCCACGGTCAGGCCAGGGAGGAGGAGCTGGGGGACAGATACTCCCCTTCAGTCTCAGCCTTCCTCCCAGATAGGGCTGGGGGCTGGGAAAGAGGGCGAGCCCAGCCCAACCGCGAAGGCTCCCTGCCTACAATCTGCTCTGGGGGATACCTCTGGCCTGCAGAGGGGAGGTCTGGACCCTGTAATGGGCTCAGCAAGGGCTCCTGAGACCCGGGAGGGCAGAGCATCTCACCCTGGAAGCTGAGGGCTTCCGCCTGGCTGGGTGGCAGCCGGCTGGGAGCATGGGCAGGCGAGGAGGACGTGCTTAGCAGGAAGCAGGGAGGGGCACCCTGCTCACTTCGGTTCCAACAGAGCCAGTGGACACCTGCCACCCACTGCCTGCCCGTGCTGCCATCCCCACCTGCTGCCCCACTGCCTGAACAGACCCATCCCCACCTGCCACGCCTCTGTCTTCATGGGCCACTGTTCCCCACCTGCCTGCCTGCCTGGGTCACCATTTCCACCTGCCACCCACTGCCTGCCTGTGCCACTGTCCCCACCCACCTGTCATCCACTGTTTTCATAGGCCACTGTTCCCCACCTGCCACCCCACTGCCTGTCCAGAGTTCCTCCAGGTCCCCTTCTGGGAGTGGGGCTCCGGTTCCCCTCTGCCCTGGCCCCATGACCTCAGTCTGTCCTTCGCACACAGGGAGGGGTGTCCCTGCAGACACGTCCCCGGTCCCTCCTGGATCTCAGGGTCCAGCTCTCTTCTTCCCAGGGTCCCTCACCCCCATTCAACACCAACAACCCGGGCCACCGCCATCCCCCGAAACCCAGTTCCCCGTCCTCTGTCCCTTCAATGAAAATCGAAGGATAGGCATGCAGGTTGAACTAGAGACACCAGGGTCTATAAGCCTCTCTTCTGACTCTCTGGTCTCACTCCACAGCTGCCGGGTCCCCTGCTGCCTGCACAGGGAGCAAGAGGATACTGGCCATTTCTTTGACCTCCAGGACACAGGGTCCCCTGTGGGCCTCAATCTCCCCACCTCCCCTGAGAGGGAGGAGGGTGGGAGAGGAGCGGGCTGGGAGGTGGGCAGGAAGTGCTTCTCTGCACACAGTGAGCGCTCGTGGTCATAAACGCCTCAAGACACCACCCCCCCTGCAAAGCAGATGACTGACCGTGGCCTGGGGGGTGGGGATGGGGACACAACAAGGCAGGGCTGGGCACTAATGAAGCCTTGGAGGGGAGTGGGCAGGGGCAACATCAGAGTGAACCGGACTAGCTCCCGAGGTGTGTTCCCAGGGCAGTGTGGCTGGCCACCAATATGGAATTCAGTTGAGAAAGCCAGCCCCAAGTGCCCTGCTAGGACCTTGACCACGCTGTCCCCACCATGGCCCGCCCCTCAGACAGCCCAGGTCCTGGGGGCAGCTGCCTTCTCCCAAGCTCACTCCAGAACCTCTTTGTCTGCCCCAAACTCCTTCCCACCTACACTGCTCAGAGATGCTCGCTGGCTCTCTCCCAAGCCCCGGAGGTCCGATGAAGACACCCACCAGGTGGTGCCAGGCCAGGCCAATGGTGCCCAGGCCACTCCTTGGCCAGGGCAGCCCCCCTCGGGTCCCTTGTCCTTGGGGGTGGGGGGGTCTCAGATGCTCCTCAGTGGCTTCCCCTGCCCCCTGCCCCCTTCCCCCTGCCAACAACACCAAAGTTGTGTCCCCAGGCAAAGGACAGAGTCCTCTGGGCACAGGCCTGTCCAGGAGGTGACTCCTGGTAAACGGCCCGCATTCTCCCAGCGCTTGGCTTCCAACGAGAGCAGGCTGGCTGGGGAAAAGGGTGCGCTGGGCGCGGCTGGGGAGGAACTTCACGAGGAGGGCTTTTGGGGGTGCGCTCAGGGCGAGGGGTGTCGCCAAGGCCCAAGTGCGGTCAGGGCCCCGCTGACTCCGCCCCTTCCTGGGTCCGACTCCGGTGGTCCCAGATGCGGGTGATCCGCTCCGGCCGTGCGCCCAGGCGCTGCCCAGATGCTGGGCCGGGCAGGGGTGGTCTCCGCGGCCTCCCGGGTCCCCGAGGGTCACGTCGCCCCCTGCCCTGACCGGGCGGACGGAGCCGGCGCGGCGGGGGAGGGGACGCTCCAGCGCCGCAGACAAAGGCTCCGACAGGTCCCCGCG